AAAAAAATGCCGAGGTCAAAGAAGGAGGAGGAGAAGGAGGAGGAGAAGGAGGAAGAGAAGGAAGAGGAGGATATGAAGGAAAAACAAATAAAAAATATTCACTGGGAAAATGATGAGAAGAGAACAACAAAATAATTCAAGAGACAGAAAGAAAGCCTACAATCACTAAGAAGAAGAAGAAGAAGAAGGAGTAGAAGAAGGAGGAGAAGAAGAAGAAGAAGAAGGAGGAGGAGGAGGAGAAGAAGAAGAAGAAGAAAAAGGAGGAGAAGAGGTAGAAGAAGAAGAAGAATGGGGAGAAGAAGAAGAAGAAGAAGAAGGAGGAGGAGGAGAAGGAGAAGAAAAAGAAGAAAAAGAAGAAGAAGAAGGAGGAGAAGAAGAGGAAGAAGAAGAAGAAGGGGAGGAGAAGAAGAAGAAGAAGAAGACGAAGGAGGAGGAGGAGGAGGAGAAGAGGTAGAAGAAGAAAAAGGAGGAGGAGAAGAGGTAGAAGAAGAAAAAGGAGGAGGAGAAGAGGTAGAAGAAGAAGAAGGAGGAGGAGGAGGAGAAGAAGAAGAAGAAGAAGAAGGAGGAGGAGGAAGAGGAGAAGAGGAGAAGAGGAAGGAGGACGAGGACGAGAAGGGTGGATGATATGAAGGAAAAACGAAGAAAAAGATTCACAGGAAAACTGATGAGAAGCGAAGAACAAGAAAGCCTAAGAACGATAGAAAGAAAGAAAAAAGAATGAAAAAGAAGAAGGAGTTGGATGAGGAGGAGGAGGCGGGAAGGGATGACGAGGAAAAAGGAAAGATGGAGTTGGGAAGGGAGATTGGAAGAAGAAGGGCGAAGAAGAAGAGGGAAGAAGAAGAAGAAGAAGAAGAAGAAGAAGAAGAAGAAGAAGAAGAAGAAGAAGAAGAAGAAGAAGAATATAATATTGCGTAATGCAGGAGACAAGAAAATAAGAAGGATAAACGACGACAAAGAATAGAGACTATCGTTTTCTGTCTTTGCTCCTCCCATTCCATCTCTGCATGTCTCCTCTACCTCCTCCTGCTCCTCCTCCCTCCCTCTTCTTCTTCTTCTTCTTCTTCTTCTTCTTCTTCTTCTTCTTCTTCAATAATAATAAGACGAGAAGAAGTGAAGTTAGAAGGAAAGTAACAAAATCGACGGAAATAATAATAATAATAATAATAATAATAATAATAAGAAGAAGAAGAAGAAGAAGAAATGATGATGAGAAGTAAAAGCTGCAAAAAAGAATGAGGGGGGAATGAAGAGGAGAAGAAGAAAATTACAGAGAAAGAAAGAAAGAAAGAAAGAAAGAAAGAAAGAAGGAAAAATCGAGAAGAAGAAGAAGAAGAAGAAGAAGAAGAAGAAGAAGAAGAAGAAGAACAAGAGACAGAAAAGAATGACGGTGGAAATAAAGAGGACAAAAAATCAAAGAAAGAAAGAAAGAAAGAAAGAAAGAAAGAAAGAAAGAGAGAAAGAAAGACAACAATTAAGAAGAAGAAGAAGAAGAAGAAGAAGAAACAGAAAAGAATGACAGTGGAAATAAACAGGACAAAAAATCAAAGAAAGAAAGAAAGAAAGAGAGAGAGAAAGAAAGACAACAATGGATAAGAAGAAGAAGAAGAAGAAGAAGAAGAAGAAGAAGAAGAAGAAGAAGAAGAAGAAGAAGAAGAAGAGATAGAAAAGAATGACGGTGGAAATAAAGAGGACAAAAAATCAAAGAAAGAAAGAAAGAAAGAAAGAAAGAGAGAGAGAGAAAGAAAGACAACAATGAAGAAGAAGAAGAAGAAAAAGAAGAGGAAAAGTAGTGCAAAGCAGAAAATAAAGAAGAAAAAGACTGAAAAGATAAAGAAATGCACTTCATTTTGTTTTGCTTTTTTAATTAACTCGATGTTTACGTCAGAAAATGAAAAAGTCTTACGCATGCGTCTAACGTGTATTGATTTTCGGGTTAAAAGGTGACAAGCGCTGTTAAGTGAATGGTTTTAGTGCAAGGAGTCGTTGCGAACAGAGACGATAAAGAGTATAACAGAAATACACTTATTCAGAGATTTGATCTATTTTGTTTATGTAGTGGGTTGTTTAACTTTTCCTTTTCACTCATGTCTAAGCGGAAATCTTGAAGACAATTGTCGCAGAACAAAAGGTGACAAAGAATTACTCCGGGGCAGAGACAATGCTGGATACATGTGCCGCCATTAACCTCTTTTTAAACGTATGCATGCATATTACAAACAGAGCAGAGAGATAAGAACGAAGCTAAATAAAAAGACAGACAGACAGACACACACTTTAAGGCCTGAATGTCCGAGAAATTTTCATAGAAAATTTTCGTCCTCCGAAAGGAATCGAAACTGTATCCTACCAGGCCGGTAAATGTTATTAATACTGTTTATTATAAAACACAGTATTTACATAAATATTTGTATCCATAAAAAGAATGTATAAAAATGTCTTAAAATAATTGTCGGACTTCATAATGTGTGACGTCATTTGTTAACATTTGATACGCTATGAGCAGATATGAATGTACGTGTTCTTGGAAGATTGAAGTTTAAAAGCAGTAAAATCGACCTTGCTCATCCCCCGTGGTACATCAAGCTATATGATGGTTCCGTATAGGATACAGTTTCGATTCTTGTAGGAGGACAAATATTTCCTATGAAAATTTCTCGGACATTTAGGCCGGTAAATGTTGTTTAATACTGTTTATTATAAACAGAGCATTTACTTAAATACTTGTATCTATAAAATGTATAAACATAAAAATGTCTTAAGACAATTGTCGGACGTTGTCCATTTCATAATATATATATATATATATATATATATATATATATATATATATATATATATATACACACACATTTAGTAGAGTTAGACAAACCTACCTAGGTTTCACCTAAACGGATCCGTTTAGGTGAAACCTAGGTAGGTTTGTCTGGCTCACTAGGTGTATCTAGCTCTGCTCTACGGTTGTATTGAGCTCTTTTGTTAGTTAGTTATTTACTCGTATCGGGGTTTTTTCTTTGGGCTTCAAACCTGCATCTGTGCGATTTTTTTGTCGGCAGAAGTCCATGTTTGTAGCTCTTTTTTTTTTAAAACCTTTTTTCCTCGAGATTGATTTGATTAGCAAATCAAAATTCGAGGGTTTTCGAAACGAGTCTAGTTATCTATATCTATATCTATATATATATATATATATATATATATATATATATATATTTGGTTGGATTGATGTGAGTTTGTGACCCTGGGTTTCACGCTTTTGCGATCGTCAGACAAACTGATTAATTTTTTAAAAAATTTTGGGTTTATGTAGATTGCGTTTATTGGTGTTATTATGGAAGTCGGGGGGAATCGTCGTCGAGATGCCATCGTGCTAACGCAAACATAGATGCATGTCCGTACATCAGATGAGTTATGCAGACACACATACACACTTGCTTGTCCGCCGGGACTCATATATATATATATATAAACATATGTGGACAGTTTCGGATTTGACATATGTATGTATATGGGTGGTGTTGTGTCTATACATACGCATTTGTAAGTTGAAATTCAAAGATTGGAAGTGTAGAGAAAATTTCTCGTGAATGTATACATGTCAAAAATCAGAGCATTTTTCTATTTTTCCACTGAATAATATTTCCTCGCATGTATGTATATACGTGTCGTGGGGTCTGTGTAAAATTATGATAGGTAAAAATTATTATTATTTATTTTTATTTTTTAATCTTTTAAAAAAGGGGTTTATTTGTTATATTTAAAACTGGTTATTTGTTTGTTTTTGATGACTGTGTATATGCAACTGGTAGAAATTTCGGTTTATAGTCCTTATTGCTTATTTTATATGCTGATATTTAATATGCTGGGGGAGGGGGGTAGTTTACGTTAATAATTATAGCGGGTTTATATGATAATAGTAGCTGTGATGTGATAGTAATGTTGTAAGGGGATTGGTGGCAATGATAACATAAGTAGCTAATAGTTATTGTAAATTGGTAGAAGTGATTAGTAATGGTGGTGGTAGAATGATAACACCATAAATATAGTTATAGTGGTGGTAGCTTGAACTAAAAAAAGTGATTGTTGGTGTTTTATTTTATTTATTGTTGGTGTTTTTCATTTATTTATTGAAACCCAGGGTCACAAACTCACATCAAACCAACCAAATATGTTAGCTCTATCTATATTGAGCGCTTTCTAATAATACCATATATATATATATATATATATATATATATATATATATATATATATATATATATATATATATATATATATATATACACACTTTTCACATATATATCTATGTAAGCAAATATATGGATATAGATCCGACAGTATGAAGAAAATATACGGAAAAACAAACAAAAAATCCTAATATGCGATTATGCTGTTTTAATGTTAATATGTCAACGTCGGACGTTTCGGTCTAATAAACCATCTTCATGACATATTCATAAAATGTGACGACAACGTGACCATGTTTTAAACGGAGCGCTGATGTTATAAAACTTTCAGTTATCTGTCTTGTTTTTATGTACATCGTCTTTGTCATGTTGAATTGATAATGTTAATTATATTTTATGAATATGTTCTGAAGAGGGTTGAGAATACCATGGACTGAACTTGTGAGGAACGGCGAAAGAGAATGAAAACAAAAAGGCAGCTTATTTAATATGCGGAAGAGACAGTTGAAATTTTTAGGGGACGTAATGAGGAAAGAGGGCTTGGAAAATTTGATACTCACAGGACAGATTGAAGGCAAGAAGGAAAGTGGAAAACAACGCATAACCCATCTAGCGAGCTTGAGTAAATGGATGGCGGGACAGAGTTTAGGAGAAATAAACAAATGTTAAAATTTATTAAGGACAATAAAGGACAGGAAATTGTGGAGAGCCATGATCGCCTATGTCCTGAAGGGACATGGAGCATCATAATTCTAATCTTGGTTATAGTTTGAAAACCAATTTAATATTTTATTCCTTTCAGTTGATTTAGTAAAACATATGTTATTTTTCACATATTTTATTTGGAGAAATTTTCATATCTATCTATCTATCTATCTATCTATCTATCTATCTATCTATCTATCTATCTATCTATCTCAGTGTGTTTATATCTATCTATCTATCTATCTATCTATCTATCTATCTATCTATCTATCTATCTGTCTGTCTGTCTATTTATCTCAGTCTGTATGTATCTATCAATACATCAATCTATCTATCGATCGATCGATTAATGTATCTTCCTGTTTGGATCAAACGCCACCGGAACATTATCTATCTATCTATCTATCTATCTATCTATCTATCTATCTTAGTCTGTTCATATCTATCAATCGATCTATCTCAGTCTGTTCGTATTTAATTTATACCACGCATATATATATATATATATATATATATATATATATATATGCAATGATCTGATTGGAGAGAATGTTTGGACTTTAGAGAAATCACATCCAGTCTGCGACTCTCACTGTTAAATGGAGAATGTTGTGAAAGAGTCAGGAAGAGCTCGTGGACATTTTCTAGGGCATATAGTGGAAAAGCAGGACCCGTCACATAACGAAAAAGAAAAAAAAACTTTTCTTGGTTTATAAACACATTACGGTATTAAAAGAAAAGGCGAATACATATTTCATTATACACCTAATCACACAATTCTATCAATGACACTCGCTTTCAGTCCTGAAAACTGGCAATCTTTTTTCAATATCGCTCTATCTATCTATCTATCTATCTATCTATCTATCTATCTATCTATCTATCTATCTATCTATCTATGTATGTCCCAATCTATGTATCTATCTATCTATCTATCTATCTATGTCTGTCCCCAATCTATCTATCTATCTATCTATCTATCTATCTATTCATCTATCTATCTATCTATCTATCTCAGTCTGTTCATATATCTATCTATCTATCTATCTATCTATCCATCTATCTATTCATCATCTATCTATCTATCCATCCCAAGCTCTTAAATATCTATCTATCTATCTATCTATGCATACCAAGCTCTTAAATATCTATCTATCTATCTATCTATCTATCTATCTATCTATCTATCTATCTATCTATCTATCTATCTATTTCAGTCCATTCAAATCTATCTATCTATCTATCTATCTATCTATCTATCTATCTATCTATCTATCTATCTATCTATGCATACCAAGCTCTTAAATATCTATCTATCTATCTATCTATGCATATCAAGCTCTTAAATCTCCATTCATCTATCTATCTATCTATCATATCTATCTCAGTCTGTTCATATCTATCTATTTTGTCATCTATCTATTCATCTATCTATCTATCTATCTATCTATCTATCCATCCCAAGCTCTCATCTATCCATCTATCTATTCATCTATCTATCTATCTATCTATCTATCTATCTATCTATCTATCATATCTATATGTTACCAAGCCTTAAATATTCATTCATCTATCTATCTATCTATCTATCTATTCATCTATCTATCTATCTATCTATTTCAGTCCATTCAAATTCATCTATCTATCATCCATTCATCTATCTATTTATCTATTCATTCATCTATCTATCTATCTATGCATACCAAGCTCTTAAATATCATTCATCTATCTATCTATCTATTCATTCATTCATCTATCTATCTATCTCAGTCTGTTCATATTCATCTATCTATCTATTCATTCATTCATCTATCATCTATCTATCTATCTATCTATCTATCTATCTCAGTCCATTCATATCTATCTATCTATCTATCTACAGCGAATACATATTTCATTATACATCTAATCACACAATTCTATCAATGATGCTCGCTTTAATTCCTGACAACTGGCAATTCTTTTCAATAAATTTCTGCAATAAAATACATTAGCAGTGCATTTATGCAATAGATGTAATGAGCCTATTCTGGGACTGATGCATGTTTTAACTCTTAGAAACTAACAATACCTTTTATACCTGATTTTCAATGCTTTCCTATAGTAGAATCATTAACAATGCGTTTGCATTGTATTTATAATAAACCTCTTCATTCATTCGCCTATCGAAACTGACGAATTACTTCGTGCACACACGTATTTACAGTGTTTCCTTGATTTCTAACATTTTATTTCGTTTAAAACATGTAATATATCCTTTGCTTTTCTAATTCGCTAGCGGTTTTTCCTGATAATCTGTACTTTCTCAATATTCTATCTATCTATATATCTATCTACCTATGGCGAATGCATATTTCATTATATATCTCATTACATAATTCTATCAATGATGCTCGCTTTAAGTCCTGACAATTGGCAATCCTTTTCAATATCTATCTATCTATCTATCTATCTATCTATCTATCTATCTATCTATCTATCTATCTATCTAGTATGTCTGTGTATCTAGTCTGTCTGTCTGTCTGTCTATCTATCTATCTATCTAATTCTGTTTATATCTATTTCTCTAATGTCTGCATCATTGAATTCGTATTCGTCATTTCATATATACTTATATAACAATTTCAGTCATATTACGTATATATATATATATATATATATATATATATATATATATATATATATATATATATATATATATTTTCATTTCTGTAGTTCACTGCTACCAGCAAGCAGAAATATTTCACCTCCCGATGATGGCCATGTTGGAGACCAGAAACTAGACGAGGAATCTAAATGAAATAAAAATAAAAAAACGAAAGAATATTAATCTACAACCCAGTGAGTCTAAAACGTTTTATTTTTTTTAATATTTTTTATTCTTATATATATATATATATATATATATATATATATATATATATATATATATATATATATACTGTTCAAAATTTCAGTCCAACAATAATATATCTTATGAGAACTATAAAATTAAAATATGGTGTCAACCCAAAATATAAATAAAATAAATATTATAATTCCAGCACTTGAAACTTGGTTCGGCATGAGACTTGAGTTATGCAAATAATATATATATATATATATATCTTAACATTGAGCACTGGTTTTTCTGACACTATAAAGTATTTATATGTATTTGTATAAAATCGTCCGTATACATACCTATATTTACCCATTCGGTTACACATACATACATACATACGTACATACATACATACATACATACATATATATATATATATATATATATATATATATATATATATATATATATATGCGTGGAGTGTATGTGTGTTTCATGCAGGAAGGAAATGAGTAACTATCGACACTGAGGTTCGAACGTGACACTCTGGACTTATGAATATATGTTTTCCTCCAGGTTCATAAATAACGAAAGGCCGAAACGTTGTGATAAATATGGCGACAAAGATGAGGGCAATAGTCCGAATAATGTAAATAGTGTACATAATACCTCATCTCAGAAATATAGACAGATACTGAAAGGCCGAAACGTTGTAATAAATATGTCGACAAAGATGAGGACAATAGTCCGATTAATGTAAATAGTGTACATAATACCTCATCTCAGAAATATAGACAGATACTGAAGGGCCGAAACGTTGTAATAAATATGGCGACAAAGATGAGGACAATAGTCCGAATAATGTAAATAGTGTACATAATACCTCATCTCAGAAATACAGACAGATACTGAAAGGCCGAAACGTTGTAATAAATATGGCGACAAAGATGAGGACAATAGTCCGAATAATGTAAATAGTGCACAATGATACGTCATCTCAGAAATATAAACAGATACTGAAGGGCCGAAACGTTGTAATAAATATGGCAACAAAGATGAGGACAATAGACCGAATAATGTAAATAGTGTACATAATACCTCATCTCAGAAATATAGACAGATACTGAAAGGCCGAAACTTTGTAATAAATATGGCGACAAAAATGAGGACAATAGTCTGAATAATGTAAATAGTGTACATAATACCTCATCTCAAAAATATAGACAGTTCAGAGGCTAGTTTCAGGGAATTTAGTCATCAACGCCATCAACATAAAGGAAGCGATCAGTAGAGAAGAAATGAAATTCTTGGATTCGAGTAAAAGCCGTCGACGACGATAAAGTTAGGTCGGCTTTTTTGCCTTTTTTCATCTTCTGACATTGGAAATTTCCATGAAGTTAAACAGCAGAATTATCTAGATAGCTTTTGATGTTGATTTCTTCTTTCAATAATTGTTAATTTGTTTTGAGATTTAAATAATTGGTGAACATGGATTAATAGAAAGTGCGAAAAGAAAACATTAATGAGAAAAAAAAATGTCGGCTTAGAGAAAAGTAAAGGTTGTGATTTAAAAAAAAAATCTTTTCACCCCTAGCAAGCCGATAATGCCACTAGTACGCAGGGGGTTAGAGAGAGTGTGAAAAAAAGAAATATGACATGAAGGAAAATGAAAGAGAAAAAAGAGAAAAGTGTGAAAGAAAGATAGGAAGGAAGAAAATAGAAAACGAAAGAAAAAAAAAGTGTCTGAGAAAGAAAGAAAAGAGAAAAACTGATAATAGTAAAATAATGAAAATTGTATGAAAAAACGAAAGCGAAAAAATGAAAGAAAGAAAGAAACAAAGAAAAAAAGGAGAAAAAGAGAAAAAAAACTGATAATAGTGAATTAAAAAATATGGCACGAAAAAAACGAAAGAGAAAGAAAGAGAGAAAGAAAAAGAAAAAAAGAGGAAAATAGAAAAATTGATAACAGTGAAATGGCGCGAATGGAGGACAAAAATAGAAAGAAAGAGAATGGTATGAATGAAAGACAATAAAAAGAAAGAAGGAAAATCGGAAGAAAATTTCGTGGCGGAAAGAAATAGAAGCTTAAAAAACGAAAGAAAAACGGGATAGATAAAGAAATACCAGTTGAGAAAGAGAGAGAGACAAAGAAAGAAAGAAAGAAAGAAAGAGAAAGACAGAAAGAAAGAAAGAAAGTAAGAAAGGAAGAAAGAAAGGAGAAAGTAAGAATGGAAGAAAGAAAGGAGAAAGTAAGAAAGAAAGAAAAAAGAAAGAGAAAGAAAGAAAGAAAGAAAGGAAGAAAGAAAGGAGAAAGTAAGAAAGAAAGAAAAAGAAAGAGAAAGAAAGAGAAAGAAAGAAAGAAAGAAAGAAGAAAGTAAGAAAAGGAAGAAAGAAAGGAGAAATGAAAAAAGAAAAAGAAAAAAAGAAAGAGAAAGAAAGAAAGAAAGAAAGTAAGAAAGGAAGAAAGAAAGGAGAAAAGAAAGAAAGAAAAAGAAAAGAAAGAAAGAGAAAGAAAGAAAGAAAGAAAGAAAAAGTAAGAAAGGAAGAAAAAATAGAAAGTAAGAAAGAAAGAAAAAGAAAGAGAAAGAAAGAAAGAAAGAAAGAAAGAAAGAAAGAAGAAAGGAAGAAAGGAAGAAAGAAAGGAGAAAGTAAGAAAGAAAGAAAAAAGAAAGAGAAAGCAAGAAAGAAATAAGAAAGGAAGAAAGAAAGGAGAAAGTAAGAAAGAAAAAGAAAGAGAAAGAAAGAGAAAGAAAGAAAGAAAGATGAAAGTAAGAAAGGAAGAAAGAAAGGAGAAAGTAAGAAAGAAAGAAAAAACAAAGAGAAAGAAAGAAAGAAAGAAGAAAGTAAGAAAGGAAGAAAGAAAGGAGAAAGTAAGAAAGAAAAAGAAAGAGAAAGAAAGAGAAAGAAAGAGAAAGAAAGAAAGAAAGAAAGAAAGAAGAAAGTAAGAAAGGAAGAAAGAAAGGAGAAAGTAAGAAAGAAAGAAAAAAGAAAGAGAAAGAAAGAAAGAAAGTAAGAAAGGAAGAAAGAAAGGAGAAAGTAAGAAAGAAAATGAAAGAGAAAGAAAGAGAAAGAAAGAAAGAAAGAAAGAAGAAAGTAAGAAAGGAAGAAAGAAAGGAGAAAGTAAGAAAAAAAAAGAAAAAGAAAAAAGAAAGAAAGAAAGAAAGAAGAAAGTAAGAAAGGAAGAAAGAAAGGAGAAAGAAGAAAGAAAGAAAAGAAAGAGAAAGAAAGAAAGATAGAAAGAGAGAAAGAAAGTAAGAAAGGAAGAAAGAAAGGAGAAAGTAAGAAAGAAAAAGAAAGAGAAAGAAAGAGAAAGAAAGAAAGAAAGAAAGAAGAAAGTAAGAAAGGAAGAAAGAAAGGAGAAAGTAAGAAAGAAAGAAAAAAGAAAGAGAAAGAAAGAAAGAAAGAAAGGAAGAAAGAAAGGAGAAAGTAAGAAAGAAAGAAAAAAGAAAGAGAAAGAAAGAAAGAAAGAAAGAAAGAAAGGAAGAAAGAAAGGAGAAAGTAAGAAAGAAAAAGAAAGAGAAAGAAAGAGAAAGAAAGAAAGAAAGAAAGAAAGAAGAAAGTAAGAAAGGAAGAAAGAAAGGAGAAAGTAAGAAAGAAAGAAAAAGAAAGAGAAAGAAAGAAAGAAAGAAGAAAGTAAGAAAGGAAGAAAGAAAGGAGAAAGTAAGAAAGAAAGAAAAAGAAAGAGAAAGAAAGAGAAAGAAAGAAAGAAAGAAAGAAAGAAAGAAAGGAAGAAAGGAAGTAAGAAAGGAGAAAGTAAGAAAGAAAGAAAAAAGAAAGAGAAAGAAAGAAAGAAAGAAGAAAGTAAGAAAGGAAGAAAGAAAGGAGAAAGTAAGACAGAAAGAAAAAAGAAAGAGAAAGAAAGAAAGATAGAAAGAAAGAAAGTAAGAAAGGAAGAAAGAAAAGAGAAAGTAACAAAGAAAAAGAAAGAGAAAGAAAGAGAAAGATAGAAAGAAAGAAAGAAGAAAGTAAGAAAGGAAGAAAGAAAGGAGAAAGTAAGAAAGAAAGAAAAAGAAAGAGAAAGAAAGAAAGAAAGTAAGAAAGGAAGAAAGAAAGGAGAAAGTAAGAAAGAAAGAAAAAAGAAAGAGAAAGAAAGAAAGAAAGAAAGAAAGGAAGAAAGAAAGGAGAAAGTAAGAAAGAAAAAGAAAGAGAAAGAAAGAGAAAGAAAGAAAGAAAGAAAGAAAGAAAGAAAGAAAGAAGAAAGTAAGAAAGGAAGAAAGAAAGGAGAAAGTAAGAAAGAAAGAAAAAGAAAGAGAAAGAAAGAAAGAAAGAAGAAAGTAAGAAAGGAAGAAAGAAAGGAGAAAGTAAGAAAGAAAGAAAAAGAAAGAGAAAGAAAGAAAGAAAGGAAGAAAGGAAGAAAGAAAGGAGAAAGTAAGAAAGAAAGAAAAAAGAAAGAGAAAGAAAGAAAGAAAGAAATAAAGAAGGAAGTAAGAAAGGAAGAAAGAAAGGAGAAAGTAAGAAAGAAAGAAAAAAGATAGAGAAAGAAAGAAAGAAAGAAAGAAAGGATAAAAGACAGGAGAAAGTAAGAAAGAAAGAAAAAGAAAGAGAAAGAAAGAGAAAGAAAGAAAGAAAGAAGAAAGTAAGAAAGGAAGAAAGAAAGGAGAAATGAAGAAAGAAAGAAAAAAGAAAGAGAAAGAAAGAAAGAAAGTAAGAAAGGATAAAAGAAAGGAGAAAGTAAGAAAGAAAAAGAAAGAGAAAGAAAGAGAAAGGAAGAAAGAATGAAAGAAAGAAAGAGAGAAAGAAGAAAGTAAGAAAGGAATAAAGAAAGGAGAAAGTAAGAAAGAAAGAAAAAAGAAAGAGAAAGAAAGAAAGAAAGAGAGAAAGAAGAAAGTAAGAAAGGAAGAAAGAAAGGAGAAAGTAAGAAAGAAAGAAAAAAGAAAGAGAAAAAAGAAAGAAAGAAGAAAGTAAGAAAGGAAGAAAGAAAGAGAAAGTAAGAAAGAAAGAAAAAAGAAAGAGAAAGAAAGAAAGAAAGAAAGAAAGAAGAAAGTAAGAAAGGAAGAAAGAAAGGAGAAAGTAAGAAAGAAAGAGAAAGAAAGAGAAAGAAAGAAAGAAAGAAAGAAGAAAGTAAGAAATGAAGAAAGAAAGGAGAACGTAAGAAAGAAAGAAAAAAGAAAGAGAAAGAAAGAAAGAAAGAAGAAAGGAAGAAAGAAACGAGAAAGTAAGAAAGAAAGAAAAAGAAAGAGAAAGAAAAAGAAAGAAAGAAAGAAAGGAGAAAGTATGAAAGAAAGAAAAAAGAAAGAGAAAGAAAGAGAAAGAAAGAAAGAAAGAAAGAAGAAAGTAAGAACGAAAGAAAGAAAGGAGAAAGTAAGAAAGAAAGAAAACGAAAGAGAAAGAAAAAGAAAGAAAGAAGAATGTAAGAAAGGAGAAAGTAAGAAAGAAAGAAAAAGAAAGAGAAAGAAAGAGAAAGAAAGAAAGAAAGAAAGAAAGAAGAAAGTAAGAAAGGAAGAATGAAAAGAGAAAGTAAGAAAGAAAGAAAAAAGAAAGAGAAAGAAAGAAAGAAAGAAAGAAGAAAGGAAGAAAGAAAGGAGAAAGTAAGAAAGAAAGAAAAAGAAAGAGAAAGAAAAAGAAAGAAAGAATAAAGTAAGAAAGGAAGAAAGAAAGGAGAAAGTGAGAAAGAAAGAAAAAAGAAAGAGAAAGAAAGAAAGAAAGTAAGAAAGTAAGAAAGAAAGGAGAAAGTAAGAAAGAAAAAGAAAGAGAAAGAAAGAGAAAGAAAGAAAGAAAGAAGAAAGTAAGAATGGAAGAAAGAAAAGAGAAAGTAAGAAAGAAAGAAAAAAGAAAGAGAAAGAAAGAAAGAAGGAAAGAAAGAAAGAAAGAAAGAAAGAAAGAAAGAAAGCAAGAAGAAAGTAAGAAAGGAAGAAAGAAAGGGGAAAGTAAGAAAGAAAGAAAAAGAAAGAGAAAGAAAAAGAAAGAAAGAAAGAAAGAAAGAAGAAGAAAGTAAGAAAGGAATAAAGAAAGGAGAAAGTAAGAAAGAAAGAAAAAAGAAAGAGAAAGAAAGAAAAAAAGAAAGAAAGAAAGAAGAAAGTAAGAAAGGAAGAAAGAAAGGAGAAAGTAAGAAAGAAAGAAAAAAGAAAGGGAAAGAAATAAAGAAAGAATGACAGAAAGAAAGAAAGAAGATAGTAAGAAAGAAAGAAAGAATGAAAGAAAGAAAGAATAAAGTAAGAAAGAAAGAATGTAAGAAAGACGTCCTTTATAATAATGTAAGAAAGAAAAAGAAAAAGAAAGAAAGAAAGGTAGGAAGAAGAAAGTAAGAAAGAAAGAAGTTAAGAAGAAAGTAAGAAAGAAAGAAAAAAGAAACAAAGAAAGAAGAAAGTAATAAATAAATAAATAATGAAAGAAAGAAAGAAAGAAAGAAAGAAAGAAAGAAAAAAAGGAAAGAAACAAAAGAAGAAAATGGCTTGAATTGAGGACAAAAATCGTAAGTAAAGCAATGGAGTGGATGGAAGACAATAACGAAAAAAAAAGAAGGAAAATCGAATGAAAATTTTGTGGCGGAAAGAGATAGATGCTTAAAAGAAAACGAAAGAAAATGGGGTAAAAAAAATGAAGCAACAATATAAAGTAAGAGTGAGAGACAAAGAAAGAAAGAAAGAAAGAAAGAAAGAAAGAGTGAAAGAAAATATTTTGAATGAAAATAATAGCAATAGAATGAAATAATTGATTCGTATGGAGGGAAATAACAATGGAACTAACCAACGAACGAAATAATATGAATGAAAGAAAAGCGACTGAAAGATATAACGAAAAAAAGAAGAAAATAACCCGTATAATAATGCTATGAAAGTTATTGAAAACGACCATATTATATATATATAAAAAAAAACACCTAAACGAACGTGATTGCGCATCAAGGCTTCCATAGTGGCGTACGTCCAATCAGCGCTATTCTACATTCACTTTCATTTCTTTTGAGAGCCGAACAATAGGTGGATTTATTACAGTAGTGATGTCGACAGCTGAGCAACAGGGTGAACGACGGGTGGATATGACGGGGTAATGAAAATGATGATACAGCCAGCTCTGACCGAGAATATAGATAAAAGAAACCTGCGTCGATTGGCAATGCCCATGATTATTTTCAGGGCGTCAAGCTGACCATCAACCACCGGTTCGTTGTTATCGTCAGTGGCGTAATATGGAAACGCATCGATACGCTGAAGTAGTTTTTACGCTGAAGATATTTCTAAAGAAAAGACATGAACGGACAGGTGCGTTATGTGAATGAGAACAATTTTCTTAGAGAGTACCATTAATGGTAGTACCCGAGAAAATTTGAATTTTCTGATGTATCATAATATTTCCTAAATAAACAAGCTCGTTGCGAATTCCACGGCTATAAAATATCTGTGGAAATTGCGCTAAATGTTTGAGCTTAATAAACTTAACCAAATATTGCAATACTAACCAAAAGTATGAATTCGTGTATGAAGAAACAGGATAGTAGAAATGGAAAAAAAAAAATTGACAAATCCTTCCATTTCATTGAAGCAGACGTTAAACAAATGAGAGCGCCTTTTCTATTTTCTGTTTCTTCGTTGCTTTCTCGTTGAAACGAGACGTCCTTTATAATAATGTCTTGTCCGTCTTAACACATGATCAAAACGGAAGAGGCCATTATTTGTGATATTTTAGCAAAGCGTTTCTTTCTTTGTCAGTGAAATCAAACAACGTCTCTAATATGTCTTTTCCGTTTTACCACACGATCAAAACGGAATAGTTCATTATTAGTGAGGTATTGGCAAGAAACTTCTTTCGTTTTATCTTTTCACTTCTATTCATTCATTCATTCTTTCTTTCTTTCTTTCTTTCTTTCTTTCTTTACTTCTAATATCCTTTCTCTCTCTTTCTTGCTTTTTTCTTTCCTTTTAAAGATTCTTTAATTTTCTTTCTTTCTTTTTTTCTTTCTTTCTAGATATCCTTTGATTTTTCTCTCTCGTTCTCGCTTTCTTTCTTTTTAAATATCGTTTAATTTTCTTTCTTTCTTTCTTTCTTTCTTTCTTTCTTTCTTTCTTTCTTTCTTTCTTTCTAAATATCCGTTGATTTTTCTCTCCTTCTCGTTTTATTGCTTTCTTTCTTTCTTTCTTTCTTTCTTTTTTTTCTTTCTTCTTTTCTAAATATCCTTTGATTTTTTTTCTCTTTTGTTGCTTTTTTTCTTTTCTTTTTTAAATATTCTTTCTTTCTTTCTTTTTCTTTCTTTTCTTTTCTTTCTTTCTTTTCTTTCGTTCTTTTCTTCTTTCTTTCTAAATATCCGTTGATTTTTCTCTCCTTCTCGTTTTATTGCTTTCTTTCTTTCTTTCTTTCTTTCTTTTCTTTCTTTCTTTCTAAATATCCTTTGATTTTCTCTCTCTCTTGCTTTTTTCTTTCTTTTTAAATATTCTTTCTTTCTTTCTTTCTTTCTTTCTTGCCAAATTATTCTTTCACCTTTTATCTTTTATTTTACATTTTTATTGGGTCTGGAGCTAGTGACCTCATCAAACGTGAGAATTTAAAAAAAAAGAAATTTTTTCCATGTACAAGGTCCGCAAGCCACTCAATGTAGAGGGTTACAGAGTAAGAGACACAGTTTATGCGAATAGTAGGGGAAGCTAACGGTTAACCCTAGACTTGAACAGTTTAAGATTGTACTGATCGGGAAAGCATCCTCTTGGGAGTCGGTTCCACGAAGCAAGTAGAGGGTTATGGAGTAAGAGGTAGAGTTTATGCGGATAGCTGGGGAAGATGACGGTTAACTCTAGAAATGAACAGGTTAAGATTGTAGTGATCGGGGAAGCATCGTCTTGGGAGTCGTGTTCCACAAAGCAGTGGTCTGTCGGAAGCAGCTGCTCGAGCGTCATTTAGATCTTGCCGATGGAATACGAAAGGAATAAGGGTGTTTCGCTACTATGGGTGTGGCGTAGCAGGTCTTAGTCGTGAGGGTGAGAACTTTTGGAACAAACGAATGTAATCTTCGGAATACTTTCCATGGAAATAACAATAGAGCAGAGAGATGCTTATAAAATCTCATCTGTGGGAGAAGGGGTTACAGGGAGGAAAATAATTAATCACCCACAAGGACGCGGAGATTCTTTTAGACTCTATCTAAATTGAAAAGTGAGGACTGGGCAGCTCATGTCTTTCCTTTCTTTTTATGTGCTCACTCCAATAAGGAGTTTAGTTTTGGAGGTGTTAAAATCAACAAGCCCTACTCGTTCGCTCGCTTACGCACACAATCGACCAACCAATGACAATACAACGAAATCATGGTGATCGTACTTTGAAATATTTGTGTACTCAACACATAAATCAGACTATATGTAATTTTCTAAATCCTCTCGTCAGCAACAATATGGTGATATCCGAAATTATGAAACAAAAGGCGCATTCGCTTTATTCACAATTAGCTTTTAGACTAGGAATGAGAAAACACGTAATGAGAAAGGAGGGCCTGGAGAGTCTGATACTCACAGGTCGAATAGAAGGAAAAAGAGACAAGGGAAAGCAACACATGGAGAGCCGAGTTCGAATTCCAGTCGAATCCATTACATTCACTTAGGTGCTTATACCCTTGGGAAAGTCGTGAATCCTCTTCTTCTCCATCCAGCTATGGGTTCTATAGCCTTGGATGGAAACTGGTCTAGGAGAAGGACAACTCTGAATTCAAAACTTGCAGAGGGTCGTTTGGGGACCTTGTGGCACGTAGTGCACCAGGTCTCTGTATTCGGCCCTTCAAAAAGCGTGGATGGTCCTGCACGAAACCTTCACCACTATAATCAAATCTCATGCGCTATACATGCGGGTTTGGGGACCGCTTGTGAATTCCAAATTCCCATGAAACTCCAATATTGGAGCCGGCTCAACCTACCCCGGGTGAATGCCGTTACAGGTACAGGGTAACGCATGACATACCTAGTAGACCACATGAGGCCTGCCAAAAGAATTCATGCGGCCAGCCAAATGTTAGTAAAATTCAAAGAGAAATTCACCAAGCAACGCCAAATAATTGTTACAAGCAATTTGACGCCGAGAAGTGGCGTATGGCAAGGGTGAGTCTTCTCACCGGACTTATTCACCCTATACAGCGAGGCAATTCTGACAGACTTGGATATCCTACCGGGATTTAGAATTGGCGGCTACAATCTTAACAACATAAGATACGCAGACGACACAGTACTGATAGCAGACACAGAAAAGAAATTACAAAACCTTCTACAGAAGGTAGCGAGGGAGAGCGAGAAGAAAGGACTAACTATAAACTAGAAAAAGACAGTAAAAAGTTATCAGTAAAAAGATGAGCCCGAAATGCGATTTTCAGGTCAGGGACACTAAAGTCAAGAAGGTCCGGAAGTTTAAATATCTGGGAAGCGTTTTGATAGAGGACGGTAAGTGCGACACTGAGATCCATAGACGTATTGGGATGGCCAAGGACGCATTCCAAAACGCTGGGCAGAGTATTAGGAGACAGGAGGATTTCTTTGGTGACAAAGAAAAGAGTACTGAGCTGCTACGTGACATCTGTCCTCCTTTACGGCAGCGAATTTTAGTCACGATCCCCTCAAAGATGGAGAGACTCGAGGCAACGGAGGTCTGGTTCTGCAGAAGGATGCTAAGGATATCATGGACCGAGCATGTGAGAAACGATGAGGTTTTGGAGAGAATGCAAACAAGGAGGAAGCTTATATTTAACGTCATGAAGAAGCATCTGAAGTTTCTGGGACACGTAATGAGAAAGGAGGGCCTGGAGAATCTGATACTCACAGGTCGAATAGAGGGAAAGGAGAGTAAGGAGAGACAAGGGAGAGTAACGTATGATATACGTGGTGGGTTTAAGCAAGTGGATGGCAGAACGTGGTCTGGGGCAGAGGGACGAAACTATAAGGGATAGGGAGAAGTGGAGAGCCATGATCACCTACGTCCTGAAAGGACACGGCACATAAAAAGAAAGAAAGTAAATGGCTGTTGTTAGATACATTATTCTCGTTGAGATCCTTCTGTTGATGAGTTACTTTGTTTTTCAAATAAATCTCTTTCATGTGAAGTTACTACTTGAAAATATCAATAAAAATGTTTTATTTTAAACTGAATTAATTCGTTTTCAAAATAGTTCATGTGTTCTACTTTAAAATCTAAATTAATTTTTTTCTTTAAATTTAGTTACTTTATATATGTTTTATTTGAAGTTTCTACCTTATAATATTATTAGGAATTGTTTTTTTTATTTCCTTAGGAAGACTTAATTTGTTTTTCAAATAAACATACTTTCTACTTTATAATATTAATTAATAAAAATACTGTTGCTCTTAAAACGAGGTTATTTCCCCTTTCAAATGTATTTCGTGTAAATCTTCAACTAAAAAATAATTATTAATATTTTTTTCTTTAAAGTACTTTAAACTGAGTTACTTTGTCTTTCAAATGCGTCTCATGTTAATCTTGTACAGTACGTTAAAATATTAATTAATAAAAATTAATTTAATTTTTTATTTAAAAGTTTTTTTTTTCTTTTTTTTTGTCTATTTTTAAATATTAATTATTTCGGGTTAATGTAGTATGCGCCTCCACCAAAAAAAAAAAAAAAAAAAAAAATTGTGAATTTTTAAATGTGGCCCTTGCTCACCCCTGTCTTAGAATAACTCAACAGGATCTTTTTTACGTCTTTAGCGAAGGAAAGCGAGAAGAAAGGACTAAACATCAACTTCAAGAAGACAGAATTCATGGTTTTAGCGAAAGGAACAAGTTGACATTTAAATTTCTTCTGAAGTGTTTTAGCAGAGGACGGTTTGTTTTGGTTTGGTTTGGTTTGGTTTGGTTTGGTTTGGTTTACTGCATATCAACCTCAATATGTTATTTCATGCTAACAAAATTTTTATTGCGAGTAATTTTTTTTCACAAAAATGCATTACTGACGATATTTTTTCCTTCAAAAATCTATTTCTGGCAATGTTTTTTTCAAAAAAATGTATAGCTGGTAATATTTTTATTTGTTTTTTCAAAAAATGCATAGTTGGTAAATTTTTTTCTAAATATTCTAGGTAAGAATTTTTTCCTTCAAACATTTACTGCACGTAATAATTTTTACAAAGTATTTCTGGTATTAAAACTTATTTTTACACTTTCATAGAATTTTGACCCCAGTTTGGGGGTTAGTTATTTACCCATAGCTGGGACCCTAACAGGTGCTACCACCCTGGTTTAGGATGTTCCTGGGAACACCATCAATTAACAGGTGATTCCACGCCCCTCAAAACCTCCAGATCAGAGGCCTTGCTGTTGGATGTAGTTTATCGTCATACCCAGGACGCGGATGTAGTTTGTCACCTTACCCCGGACACGGACGTAGTTTATTGTCTTACCCAGGATGCGAATATAGCTTATCGTCTTATCCAGGACGCTAGTAGTGGACGGAAAGTGCGGCATTGAGATCTGAAGACGTATTGGGATAGTCAAAGATGCTTTCCAAAAGCTAAGCAGAGTATTAAGAAACAGAAAAATTTCGCTTGAAACAAAGAAAAGCGTACTGCATTGTTACGTAATATAAGTCCTCCTGTATGGCAGTGAATGCAGATGAAAAAGCGACTTCAGGCGGCAGAGATATGGTTCTACAAGACGATGCTGCAAGTACCTGAGACCGAGCATGTGAGCAACGACGACGAGATAATTGTTAGAAGAAGAAAGCACAGAATGAGGAAAGAGGGCTTGGAAAATCTGTAACTCACAGGGCATATTGAAGACAAGAGGGAAAGAGGAAAAGAACGCATAACATTCTTTTGGAGCTTGAGTAAATGTATGACGGAACAGAGTTTATGAGAAATAGCAAAAAGGAAAGGAAATTGTGGAGAGCTATGATCACCTCTGTCCCGAAGGGAAACGGCATATAGAAGAAGAATATGAATGAGCTTGAGTAAATGGATGGCGAAGCAAGGTTTAGAAGCGATAGCAAAAAGATCAAATTTATTAAGAGCTACAAAGGACAGGAAATTGTGGAGAGCCATGATCGCATACGTCCTGAAGGGACACCGAACATAAAAGAAGAAGAATATGAATATAAGAGCTACAAAGGGCAGGAAATCGTGGAGAGCCATGATCGCCTACGTCCCGGCATATAGGAGAAGAAGAATATGATTGAGCTTGAGTCAATGGATGGCGGAGTAAAGTTTAGAAGAGATAACAAAAAGATCAAATTTATTAAGAGCTACAAAGAACAGGAAATTGTGGAGAGCCATGATCGAAAACGTCCTGAAGGGACACGGCACATAAAAGAAGAAGAAGAAGAAGAAGAAGAAGAAGAAGAAGAAGAAGAAGAAGAAGAAGAAGGAGATTTTATTTAATAAGCTACCAGGAGTTTCAAATAAATACCTTAATTATAAAATGAGAAATATCAATTGAAATTTATACATGTCACCCCCGATATAGAGTCATTAGATAGAAACGTATTTTAATTTATGGAATTCAGTCCTATCGCTAGTCATGCTGACCTTATTTTAGCTTATGCAAAAGATGGAATAGAGTGGGTTGAATGATTAGATAATTCTTTCCCAACCCTGCTTCTCAATTCTTGATTCGCGAGCAATGGTAGAACAATGGCTGATATATCTATTGTCACTTACCGTAGTTGGAGATTATTCTGTTGTTCGTTGGTTCGGTCTTTCAGTTGTTTTTGTTGTTGTTGTTCGTCGCTTGATTGTTATTTTTCTACTCATTACGACTAATTTGTAATTAAGTGTTCGTCTTCGCATAGAATTTAATGTAACATGAAAAACACATTTCTTTTAAGAAAATCGACAATGTAGAGAATGGTTACCAAAGTTAGATTGGCGTGTAGAGAGAAAAAAAGAGAGAAAAAAATCAACAGCATTGATTCCTCAAGGGAAATGTGGTGTGGGAAGGTAGATGTCAAAGAGTGGGTGGGAGGAGCAGGTGAAAACTGGCTGGGAGTCGTGGGAGGGGAGTTATAGTAGGAAAGTAGATAACAACATTGGAGTAAGGGAGGAGAGGAAGGTTGTGTTGTAAGATGGAGAAGAAAGAGGGGTGGTGGAGAGGGTACGGGAGTATCTGGAAGAAAAACAAGAGACTGAAAGAGAGAAAGAAGAGAAAGAGAGAAAACATGAGAAGGAAGAGAGAAAGAAAATGAAAGAAGGAAGAAAGAAGAAAAAATAAAAAGGAACGAAGAAGAAAACAATGAAAGAAAAAAAGAACAAAGTAAAAGTAGAAAGAAAAAAGAAAAATGGTGATTGAAAGAAAGAAAGTAAGCAAAAAACAAAAGAAAGAAAAAACGAGAAGAAAGAAAGAAAGAAAGAAAGAAAGAAAGAAAGAAAGAAAGAAAGAAAATTAAAGAAGAAAGAAAGAAGAAAATATCGAAAGGAATGAAGAAGAAAACAGTGAAAGAAAAAAAGAACAAAGTATAGGTAGAAAGAAAAAAGAAATATGGTGATTGAAAGAAAGAAAGAAAACAAAAAAGAAAAGAAGAAAGAAAACACGAGAAGAAAGAAAGAAAGAAAATGGAAGAAGAAAGAAAGAAGAAAAGAGAAAAGGGAATGAAGAAGAAAACAAACGAAAGAATGAAGAAAGAAATGGAAAGAAAGAAAGAAGAAAGGTTAGAAATGAATGAAAAAGAAAACAAAGTGTGAAAAAAGAAAGAAAGAAAGAACAAAGTATAGGTAGAAAAATGAAAAATGGTGATTGAAAGAAAGAAAGAAAGCAAAAAACAAAAGAAAGAAAAAACGAGAAGAAAGAAAATGGAAGAAGAAAGAGAGAAGAACAGATAAAAAGGAATGAAGAAAGAAAAGGAACGAAGGAAGAAAGAAAGAAGAAAGGTTAGAAATGAATGAAAAAGAAAACAAAGTGTGAAAGAAAGAAAGAAAGAAAGAAAGAAAGAAAGAAAGAAAGAAAGAAGGAACAAAGTATAGGTAGAAAGAAAGAAGAAATGTGGTAATTCAAAAGAATGAAAAAAAAAGAAAGGTAGAAAGAAAACAAACAAGAAAAGACGAATTAAACATGAGAAGGAAGAAAGAAAGAAAATAAAAGAAAAAAGAAAGTAGAAAAGACAAAAAGGACTGAAAAAACGCAAAGAAGGAAGAAAGAAAATAAAGGACAAGTTATAGGTAGAAAGAAAGAAGAAAAAATAGAAAGGAAGAAAGAAGAAAACAAAAGAAAGAAAGAAGAAAGAGAAAAAAGACAAAAAGAGGAAAACAAAGTAACAAAGAAAGAAAAGATAGAGAGAAAGGAAAGAAGGGGTGAAGACAGAAAGAAAAGAGAAAGAAAGAAGAAAACAAAGATGGAAAAAAGAAGAAAACTAATGTAGAATGAAGAAAAGATGGAAATAAAGAATGAAAGACAGAAAGAAAGGGAGAAAGAAGAAAATATACAAAGAATGAAAGGAAGGAAGAAATATACAAAGAGAGAAAGTAAGGACGTAAGGAACAAAGAAAGAAAGAAAGAAAGAAAGAAAGAAAGAAAGAAAAGGTAAAAATAAAGGACGAATGAAAATTTAGAAGGGAAGGAAGTGCGACAAAATTCTTCGAAAGAATGAAGAATTGATTGAATGGAAGGGAGAAGGAAGACATGGAAAAATTAGGGAAGAAGACAAAAAGGAAGAAAACAAAAAAGAAAGAAAAAGATAAAAAAGAAAAAAGAAAAAGAAAGAAAGAACGCAAAGGAGGAAAAAGAAGTAAAAAGAACAAAGTATAGATAGAAAGAAACAAGAAAAGATAGAAAGAGGAAGGAAAAAGAAAAAGAGAGAAAGGGCGTAAGAAAGGAAAAAAAGGCATTAAAGAATAACGTAGAAAACAAAGGAAAGGAGAAGGAAAAAACAATAGTGGGACTAAAGAAAGAAAGGAAGAAAGGAAATGAAGAAAAAAGAAAAGAAATGGAGAAAGAAAAACAGAAAGAAAGAAGTATATATAGAAAGGAAGGAAAAATGGTGAATGATAAAAGAAAGAAAGAAAAAAAGAAAGAAAGAAAAAAGAAAGAAAGTAAAAAAAATAATAAATCATGATCAT